TATCAGTAAAAGGTGTGGCATGAGTTCAAATCAAACCCTAAGTGACTTTTCCTCTTCAAAGTTAAACTCAAGTATTAGTCCAGTGCAGGAAGTTGATTTATATGTTCATATCAAAGCTGCACTTTTCTCATGGAAACAGCTCCTTAAGTTATCTAATCTGACTGATTTAAATGATGCAGCGGGTGATAACAGAGCACTTTAAAGCTAGACAGCACAGCACCAGAGTCCAGTACTGGTTTTCCTAATGGGACTATAAAGTATTTAAACTCATATTGCATCAGATCGTTTCAATTCAAATGACAAAAAAAACAAAGAACAAATAAATTCTCAAATTCAAAATAATTGTATGTCATTGTTAGTTCCTATTGGCTATAGGGTGCGTTTTCTCTTGTGCGTCTTGTCTATAGGATCCATACCACCAACTGTTGAGTCCTTTTTGCACTGGGACCTTATGTTGTAGTTCCAGTTTGTCAAACTTTCAGACTTTGACAGGACAACAACTTGTAAATTTGTAAGTTTTAATTGAATAAAAACACAAAAACAAACATAGCCTTAGTTTCCTTTGTCTCAGTATAATGGGCTAATGCACCCAGGGGGTATAATATACTAATTGTTACTTTAGTATGTGGTGCAGGACTAGCAATGTGCAGCTAACACCTTTGCATTAAAATCTCTCATAGGTTGTCAATTAATTCAAGCGCATACCACCATCCACTTTGCTATCAGGTGCTACAATACGAGCTGCAAACAGGGCTGAGATTATTGTTACCTTTGGAGTGAATGTTTAAAACCATTTCTAAATCACCATGAACATTGTTTAATGAATCACACACTTAGTAAAAGCAGGTTTCCATTGACACTGACACGGAAAATGAGCCAGCAGGGAAATATGAGGCCCATATCAGCCTGATAACTCTGGATATGAAAACCTGGTGAATTACTTGTGTAGCAAAGGCAATGTGTGCACATTGTGTAATTTTGCAGACACTCTTGCAGAGCCTCAGACAGCCTTGTGGCCATCATATCCAGCACACAAATCTATCTACAGGCTGTCAAAGCTTATTAAAATAGAAACTAATGCATCAGCCTGTTGGTATCTGACAATATGTTGAGGCTGGTTTTATTCTGCAAGTGCACCCAATTGTTGGAACTGCTAACATCTCTGTAGCCAGCCTTTCAGCCTCACTCACAGCCAAACTACAGTGGCCTCTTTGAGCACCCACTGCCCACAACAAACCCACACAACCATCATGACTGCCAATATCACACAAAGACACCATGTTACTACAACCCACAGCAAGGAGATGGGGGGCACAGAGAGCTCATTTATGTTAAAAGAGGTTATTCCAACACTGGAGCTATTTTTATTTGATTCTATTTGGATGCTTTTTCACAACTTTGTTCATGTAACAGTCACACAAACTCAGCGCAGCGAGCTGCCATTAACAGGAAAGGTGGGTTCTTTTGCAGAGAGAGCTGCTTGCACGTTCCTTTCAGTGAGCTGGAGGGCTGAGCACGAGACCCCGCCAGGGTGACAGAGCGTCCAGCGCTGAATCAGCGGGTCGCACGTTGTGTAATCTCTCACAAAAACACACACAGGCACACACATAGATTAACAGCACACAGAGAGGCAGGATAAAGAAGGGGGGCTCTTCACAAAGACACTTTTTTCAAGAAAAGGAAACAGAGGGCCAAAGAAGTGTAACAGTTGTGGCTCTTCTTAATTTAAAGCCTCGCTGCCGCTGAATGGGTCCACTTAGCCTATAAAACTTGTCTCTTCAAACAGCAGATTCTTTAGGCCTGACAGAAGTTTGTCAGGAAAAGTTCAACCAAAGACTTACTCTAAAACACACATTAGCAAATGCTTAATCATCCTGAAGGGCATGCTGTGAATCAGTGCACCTCACAATGGGATTCAAAGACCTTAAGGGGTGCATTAGTGAAAGAAAGGAGATAAAAAGTGCGGTTTCTCCTTTATATTATTCACTGGGCCTGTTACAAATAAGAGGGGATAATTTTAGCACACTCACCAGAATTATCTCCCAAGTCATATTCATTTATTCTAATCATATACAGCACTGTATAAATTTAACACCAGCTTTTACGGCGATCCAGGAGAAGGACAAATGATGATGCATAAGCTCTGATGTGTTTCTGTTTGAGGGTCTGTGACATGCAAATGCTTGAGAGCCCCCTGCTGTATAAATCAGGTCTGATATCAAACGGTTCAACCAAATGATTAATCTCCTAAAAGCCATGAACAGCCCACCAATGAAGCCAAACAACTAACTGCCTGTTATGTAAGCTCAAAAAGGAAATAACATTGTGCAATAGCCATGAGGAACAGTAACTTATAAAGCTGAGGCTCTGATCAGTGCTCATGCCCAAGCCCTGCCTGCATAAAGATTAACATGCACAGAGCTGAACACCTGCTTGACTGTGGGTTGGAGCCCCACTGTGGCAAAAATCACAATTATTACACAATAACTCAACCTCAATTTGCACTATCCCGCACTACATTGCACTATTCAACGATCCAACGATGCACAGAATGTTTACTTGACCACAGAATGTCTACTGTATACTGTACATTGTATATATCATGTACTTATTGTAGTATTTGGTGTAATTTTGTTGACTTATTACCTTTTTTTTTCCTATCTGTCTTTTTCTACCCTGCTATTTGCACTGTGGGTCCGAGAGGACTGTAATTTCATATATGCTGTATGCTGTCGTATAGCATATTTGACAATAAAGCTGACTTTGACTTTGACTTTGAACCTGCCCCACAAGCATTTATTAAGCTTGCACACTCTTTTAACACTCTGATATTTTGGACACTTTAAAAAAAATCCAAATTAAGTTAAAGTAAAGAAGTTCATAAATAATCAATAGTTTATTTTTTGGTTTGCCGAAGCCTGCCTGTGCCATCCTCTTTAAAGCTCCTGTCAGGAAACTCATTTCTGTCAATTTTCATCTGTAAGGCTGACACCCACCCTCTTACACCCTATTCAGCCATTGAACATTAGGATATTAAAATCTTCAGTCTTGTCTCTGGTGGTGTTGTTTGCTTTTGGATATAACAAAAATGCATCAATATGAATTTTATGAATTTCCCCTGCTTAGTTCTTAAGTGCTGTGTTTGTTTCTGTTTGTATCAAAGACTGTAAATACTATGGACAACCTGGTTCTGCCTACCGCCTGTATACGGATTTGTAACCAAGAAGCTCTCGGTAATTCCGGGTTTTTCTCCACTTCCTTGAAACCAGAGCTGCGCAGTAGCGATGCGCGCATTCGGCCGAGCAGTCGCCGAGAGTCCCTGTGATGACGCTCGGCTCAAACAGCGTATCCCCCGGGTGAGCTATGCAATCTCTGAACGCTCACAGGCTGTACCAGGTGTCAATCATAGATAACATGAACCCCCTAATAACTTTTAAAAAAAGAGCTGTACAGAAAAAAAAGGACTTGGGCACAAACCAGTCTTACTGTAACTACATGTCAACATCACAAGCAGGGGGGAGAAAAATTTATGTTCTGTGTAATAAATTTCTAAAGTTTGTCCACAGTCCCATAAGCTTTGCTGGCGGAGGCGGGATTTATGACCTGTACTGCAGCCCACCATCAGAGGGTGCTGTTCTCGGAGTGGCTTCACCCAGCGAGGAGGCAGACTCTGTCCATTCTTTATACAGTCTATGGTTTGTACCTGTATTTATTGTTTGTTTATGGACCTTGAGTCTGTAAATAAATTCTCTCTCTCTCTCTCTCTCTCTCTTCCATCCTGTATAAAACCTCCTCATTGGAGCTTGAACCCCCCTTACTTTTCAAACTACTGGAACTGACACTGCACTAATAGTAATACTAAAAATGTCATATTATAATACCAACAGGGAGAATTCCTGTATCAATACTTCACTTTATTTTTATGCTAGCTCTAATTAAAGCTCCTGTGAATAACTTTCAGTCTATGTCCATTTTTGCACCCCCTATGGACAAGGCAGTCTTTGCTTATGTTGTCATCTACAGTGTCCCCTGGAAAAGTCTTATCCTGCTAACATTCACTGTGAAAAGTTAGAAGAAAAATCTAATAACCGGGCTGTCTCTTTAGCCACTCAGCTGACACCTACCCCCTCACAGCAGATTAAGGCATAAAAACAGTACAATATACAAGTCGCCAATCATGTCATTGATGGTTTTAATTGCTTTTGTATATCATAAAAAGGTATTAATGTGAATTTCAGTCTACTCCATCAATGACAAAAAAATCCTTACAGGAGCTTTAAAGACTTACTTGTCGTAAAGTGAAAGTCTCATGAGAATCTGAATTCTTTCATCTTTAAACCGTCAAGACTAAGGGTTATAATTTTAGTTGCTGTTAAGCCTGGTAATCATTAGCCCATTAAATGCATTAGCCTGTTTCTCTCATGCTCACTTTTTTCCTCTGCTTTACTGACACACACAAACTCGCTCCTCTCCCTGGCAGTGCTACACAGCTCTCTTCAGCTGCATGACAGTTTTTACTGCTGTTGCACAACATGTTGAGAACACAGCAGTCCTCACTTTGCACATTTCCAGCATCTACCATAAATATAGCATCCACTATGGCCCACTGCCTCCTGGCCGCGACTTCTCTCCTCCTTACTCTTTATATACGTTAAAGTCAGATTTGTGTGTGCACAGGTAATCAGCAGGTTGCACACTCATCTCCATTATCTTGTTTTCATGATAGTGGGAAGCCAAAAAACACTACTGATATTGAAATAAGATGAACTGGCCAGCTCTATCTCATATTACAACACATTATGTATGGACATGTCAGCAGCTTTTCTCAGCACCTCAGCTGAACAACAATGAATTGATCTATTGTTGGATTGTGATGGTGATATCAATGCAGCCCACACACACTGCGCTCCTCACACATACAGTGACCCCAGTGTCTGCTGTACTGTTGGTGCTGAGATGACATCATCCACTTGCATGCAGACAGATCAAAGTGATAGCCAAATCACAGTTGGGAATGTAAACAAAGTCAGCAAAGTTAAAAAATATGTCAAAGCAGAGTGGAGTAGCTTTTTTGACAAGAACTCATAAATAACAAAACTTTACACCAGGGCTTTCATAAATCACCAAGAGCCGAGTGGGAATTTGGCTAATCTATTAAGCTCCAAGCAGCAAGTTGTTTCATAATAATTCAAGGTTTACACACTTCAAACAGCTTGCTTTCGTCCGTTCTGCATATTTTGGTTAAACTGTGTCGGTACAAGGTTTAAGAGGGAAAGTCAGTATTTATGATCCACAAATAAATGTTCAAGACATCGTCACAACTTTTTTAACATGGCCCAACTGAGACACAAAGTATACAAACACACATTATTGCTTATTAACCATTTCAGTCAAATGGTTGGCAATGTAAGGGCAAACTTCTACACATGGTCTCACAGCCAAAAATATTCCCAATACGTGTTTTTTTGCTGTACTGGCAAAGTGTGCAGAAGCTTGCATACAAGTTTTATCTTACTCATTTGTCTGTTTTGCAAAATAGATGTGCCAAGTTTTTTTTTGAGAACTTAAAATACCAAAAAAAAAAAAAAAAAAAAAAAAAAAGGAAAATGTGTTACATCTAGTTCTAGCAACCTGTTACAGCAACCTCAAAACCCTCCTCCTTAACATTTCCACTCCATGAGCTTTTCGTTGTGGAAGTCATGTTACACTGAGAGTCCCCAACCTCTAAGTGTCAAGTGAGAGTGATTCATTTGATAGCCATGCGTTTGAACTGGTCATGATCTTCAATCAGAGTGCGCTTTATATCAAAGTGGAAGTGATTAAGGACATAGTTAGGGGTATTGAGGGCTAACCCCTGGCCTCATCTCTCGGCACACCCCTGCTTGGTGTTTTGGTTCTTAGGCTCAACTCAACAGCACTTTCAAGCATTCATTTATTTTCTAACCCACCTCTCCCTTATATTAATGGCCGTTTTTGATAAGATAAGAATTCTGAGAGTGAGGTTTTACCACAATCAAAACTACATACACTGGGGTAGCAAAATCCAGATGTTCAAGCACCTGGAATACCTGTACAGTTCCTGAGCTGGTAGCTACATAAATTTAACTGTCACTGTTAGACAACACAGAGCTCTCTCCTTTGGTACATACCACCTCATAGTAATCAGAGAGGTAATTGAGATTTATCAGATAAGTCATACACAACAGCTTCACACAGCTCAAACCTCAGCCACGTTCACGTGAGTGGGCAGGGCACCAAACACCATTTAAAATTTCACAACTTATTATTCATCTAAAAGTGGAAGCAAATAAATACCCTCAAATAGAAACTCCCACAAGCACATGGCCACAATGTTTAATTCGGCATGCATTTAATACACCAATGTTCATTTAATTCAATTAAAACACAACTTTTAAACACGTTTCGGTCGCTCGCTGTCATGTAGCCAGACCCAGATGTGTAGCCAGCAAACAAGGCAGAGATAAGCGAAAAGATCCGTCAGTGGAGCGTGGTTTGTCTCCTCTGCACACACAAAGTGCGGTAACAGCGAACAAAGTTCAGAGCAGCAACAAGTCAAACTTACCAGAGTTTGTTCATACTGCAGCGCCCGCTGGTCAGACCCGTCCCCTGCCATGGCTCTGCTCTGTCTCTACCCGGCGACTTGATCGATGTTTTCGGCTCAGGAGTGAGAGGAAAGCGACAGCGATATCTGAGTGTGTGAGCTCTGATCAAAGCATTGAGGTTTCTGTGAGGGAGTTCTCATCGGGAACTCCAGCTCCAGAGTGCGTCCCGGTTACAGTAAGTTCCTTCATTTTATAGCCTCAAGTCACCAGTAAAGTACACACTGTGAGGCGGGACTAAAAGTGGTTTGGTGAAGGATTGACCCTCCCCTCTGTGTGTCAATCAAAGCAGGAGGAACTGTACTTTCTGGGTTTTGAAGTGTTTCCTGAAATATTTCTCAGGTTGATTTATCTCGTGAAAGTTCAGGGAAACGAGTAAGAACGGTAAATATCTCTGGTTAAGTGTTATTTGAAACTGGTCACCTGAGTTTAGATGCTGTCTGAAAGTGAAATATTAACTTCTAATTGCCTTTTTATTGATGCAATCAGTTTAATAGCTGATGCTTAAAATGTGCTGTGACTTTTTAAATCAGTCAATGAGTGTTTTACTTCTCCTTTTCATCTGGTTTTGATTTTTAGAAACATTTTGACACCTAGTCATCATAAACTCAATAATATGCATTACTAACTGAGTCAACAGACAACTTGCAAACATAATTAAAACTTAAAGCTCCTGTGAGGAGTTTTTGTACTAGTGAGAAACAGGCTGAAATTCATAATGTTGCTTTTTGTTATGGATATTTAAGCAAGCAGACCGAGACACTAAGGCAGAAGAACTACCGTGTCTGCAGTTTACATACAAGATATAAAATGATTAAATAATCCTAAATGTTCTTCCTTGGGCTGCTAAACTCCGCTGCACTCAGTGATCAACTCGTCAGGGCTCCCCCTTCAAACAAGCAGCTGCTGGAAGAGAGTGAGTGAGTTGTGTTTGGTCTCTTTGCTAAAGAAATCAGGCAAAGCTAAAAAGATGTTTGATGGCTAGTACTATGACTTGGAACCTACATGTACTGAAGTTAGGTGCTGTTCTGAGCTTAATTTGTGGCTATAGAGTGGCGTTTTGGTTGAGGTTTGCTCGTGGAGACATAGACCGCTGTTTATTGCTATCGTACGGTCGTAACTACAGTTGGTATGACTAGAGAAGCAAGTGGACGGCTCTCTGAAGGAGGGGGTCTAACTCTGTGTTACAGTGTGTTTGACCATAGCTTAAACTTATGCTGGTATATCCCATTAAGGTTGTGGCTGTGGCGGAACATCAAACTTTAACGTCTCACTTTGAAAAAAGCCTTTACTGTGCCTACTCCACATAGAGTTTAATCTGTTTAGTATTTTATAAGCATGATCAAGGTCCAACTTTGAACACATACAGTATATGTGCCCTTTTCCCAACCTCAATCATACCACCAAGGGCCAAGGCCACCTCTGCTCTTTCATGGACACGCTCCTGGCGCCAGGAAGTTTAATCCCAAGTACTGATGATCCGGTTTGCTCCTGCAGCATCACTATTAAGATGACTTTTTTTTCATTTCAGCAAAGTTTTGGAACACATGCTTCCCATAGCAGGTAACTCTCCAACAAAATGATTAAAAAATTTCAAATTTCTTCATGGGTTTTACCTGCACAGCCAAGAACACGATAAGAGCCTAACAGAGAATTTAATGAGATCCATATTCCCATCAAAAATACACTGTTGAATGAATGAGTGAGGCCTACTTGCTCATGTTGTAATGTGATATATTTAATGTGGGAAAAGGAAACCCATTTAAAAGACTGAAACATTAGTCATAAAAACAACATTAACCTGAGGTGAATCCTCAGTGGATCAGTGGGCAGAAATCTGACGCCGAGGTGCTCTGTTCAGTAAACTTTGGGACTCTCAGACATTAAGAGCTCTCCTGATATTCACAGCCTGCCTCAAGCAAAGGATCCTTCTCTTTGAGGTCAAAAACTCTCAATAAAATGACTCCCCTGAATCTTGATCGAGAGAAAGTGTGGTGTTTAATGTTCTTCTACTCTGACAAGAAACAAACAGAGAGAAGTTAGAGCTGTCAGCGGGGAGTTCAACCTGAGACTGATCTCTAGAAACACACACTTCACAAAGACATTTTCCACTTGAGCTGAATGTGTGTGTTTGTGTGTGTGTGGGGGGTATATTAGGTTAATCATTAGAACAGCTCTGCTTTGTTTGAATTCTGTTTGAAAGTGGCAGCTTTCATCGTCAACTCCTTCACTTGTCTCTTCAAGGTTATTAAACGTGTGAAAAGTCCTGAAAGCACCACTCACATATAATGGAAAATGACTGGAGGTGAATGTGATCAAGGCATTCATGATACTCTTCTTCTATTTTTCCAGATCTGGGTTGATATAGCAGCATCCAGATTTAACTCTGATTAGTCATGTCTTACAGCTTTTCTTGGGAAGTCCTGAGGAATTTCTTAGATACACAAGGGCTCTCATATAACCTGGTTTTAGAAGTTAAACTGAGTTTATTCTGGATCCAGGGGTCTAGCTAAGAGCTGGTGTCAGTGTCCCTGCCCCTTAAGTTTTCTCAATGATATTCAGACAGAGGCCTTTTACACCTCGACAGCACTGACAGTTTTTAAAACACCTTGCACCAGTGGTCGTTGAAAATATGAATGTTGATTTGGAAACCATTCATTAAACCTTCAACTTCCATTAGATTTAATTCAACATCAACATTTGATTTTACTCATATTCATTGTTTAAAGACCCACTCGGATGAAAATCATGTTTTTCTTGTTGTCTACATGTTCATATGGTATTTTTCTGATGCTACAGGACATATCATGAGAAAAATAAATGTGAAATTGCATTGCTAAGTATTTCTGCATCTAGCTCACTGTGAACCTCTGGCAAACCCAAATGACAGGTTCAGACACAGTGAGATTTCCTACGTCACAACTCCAAGCTCCGCCCCCAGAGCCCTGCTATGCATCATGTCCCTAAAGACATTAGTGTCCGAGAGCTGAATAGCTCCTGTGTTACCTGCCACTTCTGCTACACCGGCAATGTTAGACTGCAAGCTAGCATGAAGAGGAGTGTGCAGAGCAGCCCTGTCTCCGCCCACGACTCAGGTGCAAATTGCTAATGAACTACTGGAGCTCAAAAAACGAGAAAAAAAACTAGTGGGACTTGAAATCAAGAGCTTAAAAATAGAATCGAAAGTTTGTTTTTCTTGTTGTACCTTGAGAGGATTTTGTGCAGCTGCAGGGCATATACTATTGCTGGGTTGGGTGCGTAAGTGTGTATAAGCAGTAGTTTCAGTATAATGGTGGATTTTGCTGATTGTATCTGTGCACTTCAGCATGTAACACTGGAGGACAGGATAGACGGGACCCCTGTACATGAACCTTTGCTTTGTGAGGTAGGAAATCTAACTTTACTATAATCAAAGTGAATGTCTTTGTTAATGGCTGGATGTATAATAAGAGTTAATTGTCTCATAGTGTACCTCTGTTTTTAAGGCAGGAGTATATATTTGAAGACACACTGGTTAAACACATGCCATAACAAGCCAATCATCTTATTGCACTGTTCACCAAGTGTCTGTTTGACGCTCTTGAGCACTTCACTTCTGTCTGAGAGTCTAATCCTTCAAACGATCGGAGCTCAAGAGCTGTTAGACACATATTTAACCCCGTACTGTGTTTGAGATGTAAAACAGAGTTAGATTATTGTGTCTCTATACAGGAGAATAAATAAACGTCTATCAGCTCCTGACCCCAGGAGAGGTCACAATGTGAGAGACGGAAAAGTACTCAGAGTAAGACAAGTGTTGTCGAGAACACACTCAAATATAAACCTCATATTCCTCTTCTTTCTCTCTCTTTTGTCCTCTGTTTAGAGTGTGAAAACAGTCTGAGTCACATTTATATTAAGGCTAATGCTATCCATCAGCGGCTGTAATGCAAAGGGTAATAGCTTTTGTTTGAGTGTGTGACAGCTTGTTTGTTGGAGGCCTCAGAGTGTGACAGATGGGGGCAGCAGAGGTAAACACACAGGTACGGAATGGTAAATGAGACAGCTAACAACAAAACAATGAGACAGATTCATCATCCTCATGCTTTTGCACATTATTTGTCTGTGTTTTCTACATGCATGTCATGTTAGTCCACAACTTTTAAATTCTTTATCAGTGCTGCTCACTCAAGCTTAGCATCCGAGAGTCAATAAACTATCAGCTAATCCAAGCTGTTCAAAGTGGGGGAGTGCACTGAATAAAGAATTGGCAAATTCCCAGAGTGGTTATTGAAGAAAAGAGGTCAATAAGTGGGAGGAGCTGGAGCCATGACACAGCTAAAAGTCCCTCAGCTCTACATTCATGTGAGTGTGAGACTCAGGTAGGCCGGCACCTTTTGTATTAGCAGCTGCTCAGCTGAGACTGTCCAGCTCTGAGACCAGATTACTTCTTTTCTCACGGTGTGTGTCGACATGGCGGATCAGTCCGACTGCAATAAAAGCCCCCGGCAGTTCACTTTTTCTAATCCTCCTCGCATTTCTGTGGAAGAACGGTTCCGTATCATCTGGTGGGTTAGTCAGCTCTCTAGTATTGTAGGGATGGGGTGTGTCTACTTTGCTCTCCTTGCAGTTAGGAGTAAAATGTTACAGAGAACATTTATTCTAGCTATTTCATCATCTTACTTTGCACATTGTTTCACCAAACAGGTGCAAATTTCTTCCACAATCTTTATCAGCGTCATTTACAGTTAAGGTTTACTTCTATGATTCATAAGATATTGACCAATCTCTTTCAGATTTACTTAAGAAGTGAGAATAAATCCATCGATAAAAGTGTACCAGTGTTTGTAACAAGATGGCAGATGAAAAGGTCATTATAAACATAGCTTTGTGTTTTAAGATGTTCTGAAATCTGCAGTTTTTCTCCTGGTACAGAAGTAACTTTTAGGGTAACATGCATCTGCTTGCATGTTTATCTAGCTGTCCTATTCGTCCTGTTGGTATACTGGAGGTGAGCTGATCAGCATGATTGGGTGCCGGATGGAAAATGTTCTAGTTATAATTTTAAAATAATCCAGGGGGCATCGTCTACCTTTCAGAGCTGCCCCCAACCTTCAGCATCTGCACTCTCAGCACTTGCTGCTTGTGCTAGCGGCTCAGACTGATCAGCTCTGGACCGTCTTGGTCTTGGCCTATAACTCATACAACCTCACTTTAAAAATACTGAACTATCCCTTTAATACTAAGCACCAGTCTGTATTGAATAGTGAGGCAATTTATTCAGCCGAGTGTGTCAAAATTGAGTTGTCTAGACAGCGCTGACTAAATCTGTTAAATGTTTGTGTTTGTGGTCTGGTATGGACTGGACTCACTGAAGTGACCTGATCAAATTCCTTCAGTGAGAAGACCTGCAGATAAGAGAGTCAGTCAAAGTTGTTGTGTGGAAGAGTTTCTCTTTTTTTCTCTTTAGTCTGCAACCAACTTACTGTATCGACACACTCTCCTTTCTCTCTAATAGATAAACATTTAAATTTCAAACTCTTTTAACTTGAGTAATCTCTAAAAGGAGGAAGCCCTCTGGGATATTACCCATTTAAAGTCCAGGGTGACACAAATATCCTGAGGTGTTTGACGATAAAGTGAAAGTAGTTATCTCAGTGATGTAGACAGTTCAGTCTCATGATGTGAAAATACACTGAGGGGTGGTGATAAAGTTTCCATTTTAAAGTTATTTTTTTCACACTGCTCTATTTATCTCACTCACACTTACCAGACCTGCCAGACTTAAGAGTCGTTTTATTGAAGCCACAGTGAGGAATTTGAACTCGTTGTGTAACTGAATAATGATATGGAGTTTTTCAGTCTAAAAGCACTGCAAAGAGGGAAGGTGTTAGACAGACTGTTAGCAGGCTGAAGACAAAGCTTTTCTTTACATTTGAAAAAACAGCGAATAATCCTCACAATGAATAAAAGTGAACTTTGCCCACAGATGGCTCCAATACTGAAACAATCCAACCCTTCTTCACTGGAAAGAAGAAGGACAGTGACTCTTTCAAGCATAACACCACTTTTCTGTAAAGAGTGATCATTACACATGGTATTTGTTTATCTACATAAGGCGCTTATCAAATACAAGTTCCAGGAACTAAATGGTTCCTGCAGCCTACTGTTGTCTGCGTTTCCAACTGGGCCTGAAGTCTCAGGAAGATTAAACAAATCAGACCAATGAAGTTGAAGACAGTGATTTGCTTAATGAAGTAACTTGCACAGCTTATTATGTGAGTCTCTGCTGAAGTTTTGTAAAGAAAAATGTTGTCACAAATCATATTGGCAGCAGGTAAGTGGTACTAATCATTTGATAACATCAGGTTAATGGAAACATCTGGTCTTATCTTATTGCTCTTTACCTGTCCTCTACTTGCTTGGTAATGTAAACAAGATTGTTCCCTGATAAGAAAAATTCACCAATATCCCTGTACGCCAAAAAAAAAAAAATAATAATAATGTTAATGTTATTGACAGATAATACAGGCTATTTAGGTGTCCATTCCTTAGATCACATGTTTTTTCTCAGTCAGATAGCTGATGTCAATTATCTTTGTTAATGAAGCTCTGACGCAGAGGATGAGAAGGTGCCTGCAGGTGTGAGGCCATCTCCTATTTAACTGGTCTTGGTCTTCTGAACAGATTGTTTGCATGGTGAAGGTCTAGTACCAAAACATTGCAGATAAAATTGTTCCTTTCTCTCCAAATTGTACAGTGTGCGGGTGTTTCCCTTTGAATGAATTGCTGGATCCCATGTTCTCTGACGCGCCTGTCCTGAATTATAGATGTGCGAAGTTACCTCTCCACTGTGAACACCAAAAAAAAGAAAAGAAAAAAAATCTTGAAGTGGAAAAAAATGTGCATACAACTGCGCCATGATTCATATATATCCATAAATTATATATTTGATTGTTTCAGTCTTAAAATAACACTGTGTGGGATATCATCCACAACTTCTCCTCCTCCCTCACAGCTACATGGTTTTATTTTTTTATCCAAACTTTCTTTATTGTTTTTTTCAAAGAACAGTCAGGATCTCTGTTCTTACAAAGGACAATGGTTCCGGAACACGTTAAAGATCCAGTTCTTATTTACCCATATCAGCCCAGGTGTTCCGGAACACGTTAATCTTTAATGTAAATTAAAACACCTTCAGCTCTGCAGTGTGAGTTTCTGGACCTTTAGGAAGCACTACCTCCTGAGCAGGGGCTTTACAAGGGGTGGATGAAGTGCCTCTGAACTAAATTTAGATCCTGGTTCCTGCTGTTGAAATGCACCAAGTTCCTCAAGAGGTCCCCATAGTTCCTGATGAAAGTCTTCATCTGCATGCCTGGTCAAGTCCAGTTATGGTTACAGTTCAGTTAGGCAAAAACCAGCATGTTATAACTTTGCTCTAAAACTCTGTTCACCATAATGCGAGCTGCTTACTTTTCACGTATGGTGAAAGTTGATCAACCTGTGCCAAGGTCAAACTGAATCCTGGATGCTTTTTCCCTTCAGGCTTTGTTCCTGTTTCACTCATTAGAGGCTCATGTGTGGTAAACCAATTAAAAAGCATTTCTTTTTAACTCCAACCACATGTTTCACGGCTGAGGATACAGCTGCTTTTAGCAACTTTATTTATATCATTCAGTTTTCTTTGTAACACGATAGGTCTTTTCTTATTTGTTCTGCTCATAAATTAACCCTCTACATGAACACGGACACACATGGACACACACACAGACAGACACACACACACACACACACAAACACACACACACACACACACACACACACACACACACACACACACACACACACACACACACATTGGTGTGTATTATTACCCTTTAAGTTAAAGCCCGTTAGTATTCCTCTCTGTGGCTTCTCTGCGTCTATTTTTGACCTTTTTAGGCTTGTAACAGC